AGATAGAGAGAGAGAGAGAGAGAAAAAGATGCAGACAGATAAAGGGAGAAAACTAGAGAATTGCACAGTGAAAGAGAGAGAGAGAGAGAGAGAGAGAGAGAGAGAGAGAGAGTACGAGAGCAAAATACATACCAGAACACTAATGGCAACTTTAACGTTAAGGCAGCCAAGTGTGGCTTGTGTGTGTGTGTGTGTGTGCAATGCTCGGGGCCAGGCATAAGGATGCGCATAATGTGCAAAGTTTGTGACGCAAACTAATTTCAAAGTAATTACGAAGCACAAAAGTGTTGATATTAGACTGCTGAGAATAAGCAGAGAGTGAGATGCAGATAGATAGAGAAAGAGAGCGAGCTAGGGTGGACCCATAGCTCTCTAGAGTGAGTTGCAAAAATAACATGACAAAACGTCATCAGCAGGCGCTCGAAAGAATGCTGGAAAACCCAAAAAAAAAAAAGAGAACTTTCAAGCTGCTGCCAGTTGCTGGTGCTAGTTCGGGCTCCATGCACCACCACCACCACCGCAACTCCCCTTCCCTAAAACAGCCAATGTCAGCGCAACATCAACAACTAAAACAACAAACAAAAAAAAAAAAAAAAAAAAAACCAACCTAAAGTGCAATAAAAAACTCGTCGCGACCGAAAAACAAGCCAAAAGATAGCCAACATTTTTGCTGTCACAGTTTTCGACTTTAATGTGACTTGTGGCTGCGGCAAGGCTAAAAATGATCCTGCGGGCCAGAAATTAAAGGCGCTCAAAACTTTGCCAACAGCCTGCGGGGCGTTGTCTAAGTAGCTGCCTTGCCAGGCTGCACACAACACAATTTCTATTTATTTGTATAATATTTTACAATTTTATAAAGTAAACGAAAGCGGGCGAAATATGACGCAAGCGTTCAGGGACGGCTCCAGGCGCAAACAGGAAGGCAACACACACACACACACACACACATACTTATACAATAGAGACAGAGTGGAGTCAGGCGGAAACGGAAGCTGGCAAAACGTAAGACGCAAGCAGGGGCGAGCAAAAACAAAGGAAGAAGCAGCTGCAGCTACATAGCAGAAAAACAAAACAACAAAACACAAAACAGAAGCGCAGACAAACACTAAAGTTCTGCAACAACAATTCACGCACACACGCACACGCACACACACCCTTTAGACTGAGTACATATGTCTGGTATAATGCAGTGTCTATGAGGTCTATTAAGGTTTTAAGCTTTAAGCAAGAAAAACCTTTCAACGCAGAGTTCAATTTAGGGGAAAATAATATACAAGAAGTAAGTGCTAGTCGAAGCGTCTTTCTGAGCTAACCTTAGGTCTAAGGCTTATGCCTAAATTTGACTTCATTTTTAAGATATTGCTACCGACAAGCTCTTGCTTATCTCTGAACTATAAATGAACTATTGTGGCTGCTGCTTCCGAAAGAGCAAAAGTTGCTGTCAAAGCCGAAGCCAAAAACGATCAGAAAGCAAAACAGCGCGATTCTGACTGCATCAACTTATGAAAGCAAAAATGATGCTGCGGCTTCGACTTGCGATTCTAACGTAAATCGACATCCAACAAAATAAATGACTTTGGATTTGACTGTGACTCGGTTGATTAAGAATGCTTGCCAGCACTGCTTCAAAGCTTTGATTAAAGTTAGTCGATCCACAGAATTAAAAGAATACTACTATCGCCATCGCTGTTTAAATACGTAGGCTTTCAACCCTGGTAAAAGGCATATACAGGGTATTTCGAATTGTTTCTCGCCAATAAATAAGTAATGCAGCAGTGCAGATACGCGTCGTATATTTTACAAATTTCATTAAGTGCAGAGCCCAGGAACAAGGGCAGAACAAAATAAATTTACGGCTTATGCCGGGGTAGTACAATTTGTATAGCATACTTTTTTGGCGGGCTGGAATAAATGCAATTAAACAAATAAATTTTCACATAAACCTTTTTGCCTGGCGCAGGCGGAGACAAAAAAACAAGCAAAGCAACAATAAAAAATGACGTAATTTACCTCAATTAACACGCCAGTTGCACCAGTTGTAAGTGTGTGTGTGTGTGCTTGTGTGAGTGTGTGTCTGTGTGTGTGTATTGGGCGTGTGAGTTTAATTGCAGCCAATGGTCAGCATCGCCATTTGGCAGCAAACAAAGCCGTAAACGTAAACGTAGCCGTAACCAACAGCGCAATGGTCGCGCAGCATCCGTTTATTCATTGGCTGCGGACCGAGGGGCGTGTTAGGAGCGAGGGGTTGCCTGCTGGCTGCTGCACACGGCCCAGCTGAATTTCATCGCCGCTCTTAACGACACACCAAGTGTTTCGTAGATGCTATGCTGGCCATTTGAATTCAACGGCCCTGGCGACTTGAACTCTTACCAAGTAATGACCGCTGGCAGCCGAAACATATCGACCCAGCAGCTACCCCACCGGGCACACCCCATGCCAGCACCTGTCTGTCTGGTCATTTAATGTGCATGTAAATGTGAGCACATTCCCCAACTATCAGCCAACATACCTAGTCATTAAAGTTCACTTTATGTGCGCCATTTTACAGCGGCGCGCCTTGCTCCATCTCTAAATAAACAAAAATGAATGAGACTGTCCAGCCACTGGACCTGCTCCTCTTTCTGTACTTAATTGTATGTCTGCGAGTATGCGTTGCATAAAATGCTAATTTTATGATCAGACACAGACAACAGCAGAGCTCAAGACACACAGCATACAACTCGACTAAGGGCTACCCATTACTTTACGAAATATGGGCCACAGCATTCAATAAATTTATCTAATGACTCTTGCTTCTGACCCAACTACATTTTTTACAACCAATTTAAATATCATTTAATCATTATTGAATCAAAAATCGTCTATGAATTGGATAACTCTCTGACAAACTTCCTTACAGTCCACTGATTACATGGTATCGTTGGCCCTAACAAGCTTGGCGCTGTACATATTAAGATTATGGCTTTCTACATGGATAAGAGGCAACAGCTGCTGACCATAAGCCATTAAATGATTGTTTATGAGCGTGTCCTGAATATTTAAAACGACTACATAACATATTTTACAAGTTGGTTCCTAAAAACATAATGATAGGAAAACATATTCGATAATCTTTATCTATAACAAAAGTATTTTAAGCATTCTACAAGAAATCAGGAAATTATAACTTTTATTAATTCTTCTTGTATCTAAACGGTTTTCTATACAAATTCATTTGGGATTTGGGGTTTTACATATTCTTTTGAATATTTAATCCTGCCTGTAGAAATGTGCGAATCTAAGATTTGGGGGTGTAGTTTCAGGTTCAAACTAAAAAATCAAAATATTTGCTTCATTATTTCATTGATAATGAAAAATTGTAGAAGACGGGTTTAACTGAACCTGAGGTAAGAGGGTAACTATTTGTTTTCATTAAAGGGTTGCATATTATTAAGTTTAAAATTTAAATTGGGATAGACAAGATAGAACAGCCGGACAGACAGCAGGACAATAAACAAAACCCACCTTTTCCACTTAGAGTTAACATTATCATTTTCTTTTTTTTTTCATTTGACTTTAGACTAAATTTAGTTAAGATGTTTCTCTTCTCAATAAAGTCACCAAAACAACAAACCGCAATGAATGAAATTCACTCAGAAACTGTACACTTTAATCTACTTCGAAAAGCTCCCGTTTATTTCGCTTTAGTTCCAGCTGCTTATCTGATTAGCACACGATATTGCATCCAAAAACCCTTTGTTCCAAATCAAATTGGACTCCAAAATCTGTCTGTTATAGTCGGCAGAGAGAGAGAGAGAGAGAGAGAACGAGAGTGAAAAGAAGACTTGTGTGCCGTCTCTGGCATTTAAGCCTAATTTGTACGCCCAACTGTGCCACGACTGAGGCAATTACAGTTAAAGGCAGGGCTGTAGCTCTAGAGGAAGCAGCCCTCGCTTTTATCTCCTACTCTTACCCATTTCTCTCAATCTCTATCTCTAATCACATAGCAGGCTGCAATCGGCTTTTGAGCTGGTGCCGCATCCTGTTGATGGCCTCGTTAGTTGCGACTTAGCGTCTGTCGCTCAGGGACAGCCCAACGAGCACAGTACAATCAACATTTCACACACACACACACACTTGACAGCTTGGCCATAAAAACGAATGTCCTGACGTGCTTCAGGCAAAAAATAAAAATGTAAGGCAACAAAATGCCATCAACCGAAGGCCCTCAAGCTTTCGCTGCCATTTAATGCGCTGCAAGTTCTGCGAAACCAAAACTTTAGTTAAGCAAACGTAAAATATTAAACTAAAAAAAAATAACTAAAACATATAATTTAAGCATTTGTGCTGTTGTGCTATAAAACGCTTTTAAATTTAATTAGAAGCAAACCCAGGTGACTGGCAAAAAACTCGGCTATTTCGCTCGGCACAGACGTTAACATTGTTGCATGGTTTGTTGTTGCATGCAACTAGTTGCACAGCTTGCAGTTTAATGGTTGTAACAGTTTAATGGCCATTTTAAAGGCATAAATCAGAGGCGGCTATGAAAAACGAGCCAAAGATTACGTTTTATGTGATTAAAGCAGCAGAAGCAACAGAATTGCGCCCCATGCAGCAATTGCGATTACTTATCCGCAAAATAATTCCTAAAGGCAACATTACTTGCAACTCAGAGAGTGTTCGAGTGTTTCTACTCTACAGATGGTAACAATTCATTTTCTCCCTTTTCTCAACCACTTTACCACGCAATATGTTAAGGTAGTTAAATATCAAATATTTCGTCAAAATATACAAAACAAATAAAAACACGGGAACTTTTGATTTAAATAAACCTGCAGTAATCAGTTCTCAGTACCTTTGCAATATATGTAATCGTTACTTTAATACGCCCTCAACTGTTACTACAGACTATTATATAGCTTGGAATGTCTTTTCCTTTCCTCGTTTTGAAATTGCGTGCACTTTCCATGGCCGTGGCACATGGGAACAAACTTAAACTGCACATATTTGCAAACAATTAGAAAGCAATTACAGCATTATATAATTATCACAAGCAAGAAATCCTATAGCTTGAGCTCAACAAACAAACAGTCAACATGAGACCTTCGGTGCGTATCCACAAGCTCGTGACAAACATCAACTACTACGCGAAGCTACTGGGATTGGATCTGCTGGCACCAAGGCTGAGATTCGTCTTTCGCACCTGGATCACAATGTCTGCACCTTCGAGCTATTTGATATTTGGTGTCTCCTGGGCGTTCCGCCAGGCCCAACAGCATTGGATTGGATGGTCTGAAAGCCAGCATCATGTTGGGTGGTCTAATCAATGGGACCACTGAACTGCTCTCTGTCATACAGAATCATTCGGCTATGAGGAACATGATGAACTACACCATTGAAATCTTTGCAGACTATGAGAGTCGCGGTGCGGATTATTGTGCTGCTCTCAACTTTGGCGTTGATCGAATGCTGAAATACGACGCATTATACGCATTGGTTACTTTCTATCATTTTTCGTGATGCTTGCGGTGCCCTGGGCGTTACTTTTTTACGATGGCACACGTGTCACAGTCATGCAGTACGAGATTCCTGGTCTAATGCTAGAGAATAATGTTGGATACACGCTCACATATTTGCAGCATATGATTGTGGCTGTTGTGGGTGGTCTTGGCTTCTACACGACCGATTTGTTAGTACTGCTCGCCTTAGTTCAGATTCTGACATTCGCGCACATTTTGCAGTTAAAAGCAAATGTCCTTAATGATGCACTGAATCGTAAGGAGCAGTCGAGATATGAAGCTCAAGTGGGTGGCAATGCAGATAATGGAATACAATCTCTTCTCTTAGATTTAATCAAATGGCATCAGTTGTTTGTCGCGTAAGTTTTAACATATTAATTGAGTGCTTTTTCTTTATTGTGTCTTAGATTATCTGTGCATAATTAACGGCTTTCCCAGTGAATGTTCCTAGCTAATTACTTTGGTTAAAAGAAAGTGAAAATGTCCCAAATAAAAATAGCTATTTCAAAGCACAGTATTTTTAGACTTGTACATATTGCAAAGAAGTAAAGATTAGTTTGGCAAACTTAACTTTTTGACCTTGTTAATTTATGAATCCCAATAATTCCAGATACTGTCGCGATGTCCGCGATACCTATCACAATATGATCGCTGCTCAAGTTCTCTCCTCGGCCTTTCGATTCTGCTTTGCTTTTGCGTGAATCTGAACGGTTTTCATTTAATATCAACCATCTACCTATTTGTCAGCACCTACTCAATGTTGGTCTACTGTGTTGTGGGTTCACAAACTGAATACGCTGTCAGTTCCAATCGCCAATTGAATTTAATAAAAAAAAAAACTAATAACAATCATTCTGCAGTACGATCAAGTGTATGACAGCCTATGCAACATAAGCTGGCAGGAACTTAGAGCGGATCAGCGCAAATTATTTGGCTTAATGCTGAAGGAGGCGCAGAATACGCAAACCATGATAATGATTGGCATTCTACCACTGAGCATGCGTACAGCCCTGCAGGCAAGTGTACAGGGTATAGCCAGCACAACTTATTAAATTTCTCTGCAGATCACAAAGCTCATATACAGCATATCCATGATGATGATGCGGAATCGCAACTAGGCATAGAGGTCTTCTCTTCATAGAATAAGCTTGTCCTATGCTATACAACAAATGTTCTTTTTTTTGTTTTGGAACACATTTTTGATATTCAAATAAATTAGCTGCACCAAAAAAAAAAAGATAGGGAGGAAAAGCTGAACTGTCAGATTCGATTAACTTCTTATGGTATTTTTGCTTGTAGTAAAATATGCTTCTTTACCAAAATGTTTGCATTTTAATATTTCTACCAATACTTATATAGAGTATATGGTTAAATGATATTTATGCCTGAGCAACACATTTGCAGTTTCTTTAAACGGTTTCAATAGGGATTGGCATTTGCAAATGATTTAAAGTTTCAGCTCGCATTAAGGAAAAGCCTTGATGACTCGAGTAGTAATCGACTTGAACCAGGTCTTTTGTTCCTTTGCAGTGCTCCAAAGCACTCGGAAGCGTTTATGTGCACTTGAGTGCATTCTAATGGACTACTACATTGGACTGTGCCTTGTCGCTCTAATCAAGGCATGGAAGGGACTTTACCAGTTCTCTACTAGAATGTATGCACGCATTTCTATTCTTCTTATCAGCATGGGGCATGCCTCTTGATGAGCTTTGACTTTGCAATCAAATGGCGTTCCCTCTCCTGTCTTTTGGTCCTGCAACCAAATGTCATTTACAATTAAGAATTTTGCAAATGACTTGAACTGGCAATGTATTTATTTGACTAAAGACTAAGTGCAGCAAATGTGAGAGAAATAGCATTTAGATATTTACATCAGCTAAAACAACTATCAATTTGCTTTAATAGAAGAATTTTGACTTTTTTAATACTTGAAAATTGTTGAAAATATTTGCTTGCTTCCACGCTCACGCATTTGAGCTGTTCGCTTATGTAGCTGGTTTTGTTCAAGCAACTCATGAGAGCAACATTATCATTACAAGCGCCATTTGCTAAACCAGAACATGAACACATCTCTGAGTTGGTTTGGTAATTACGCAGTTAGTACACACCATTTGCTGCAGCATGTTTGAAGCGCTGATGCATGGAGCTGGAGTTCCCGCAAGGCAGCAATAATGCGCTGAAAAGAGAGCCAGAGCTTGTTTCTGGTTCCATTATGCGAAGCTTATTGGGTTCTTATGCAAATAAACAACGCCAACAACAACAATAGTATGTGAAAACAAACAAGAGTCAAGTTCCAATAACGCACAAGTAGAACCGCACATCGAGGCCGGTCAGGTACGAGGTACTTGTAAATAGGCCAGAAACATTTGTTAGAAATGCTCCATTCAATACCAACAACGAGTACGAACCACTCAATAGAGCATCTCGCACTTCTATGGCCTACTTCATTAATATTTATACAAAGTGAGTTTTTCTGCTTTCTATTCTCCACTCACCGTATTCAGCATATGGCAATAACAACAGAGAGAGAGAAAAAAACTAGTGTGGGTTTTTCCCACCCTGCATTCCGCCATTTACAAACTAACTATGAATAGGAAGAGCAGGCAGCCCGACTAAGTGACTGTGCTGTTTGCTCTGGTTACGCATTGCTGATTTTGCATATTCAAAATGAGAATAATCACAGCCAAAACAAAACGAAGTGCACAGCAGGACAATACCCTATACTTAGATTAAAAGTACCAGACACTAGGATGCTAAATTTAAGCTTAAATTTCCACTTGTGAAAAACGGAAAGAAAATTGATATTCATATATATAATAAAATCAGTAATAAAGGCTTCAAATTTATGTACTTGTCATAAATAAATGGTATCTGTGATAATTATGACATTTATTTGCACAATTTGCTTAAAAGCCCGACAAACTCAAACATGTTATTTAATGAGTTTGCATCTCAACAGCCTAAAATCGGTTTTAATTATTGTTTGGATTTCATTTTATATATTTACAGATTAACAGAGCTTAAAGTGGAAAATGCCAGCTGTCATAAGAAAATGCACATAATTCAGGTAAGTCGGCAATCAACTTAAGAAAATGAAATCCACAGACTTATCACAAAATATTTCAAGTTGGCTGCATTTTAATTTTCTCTGTAAATGCAAATCTATGCCTCTGCTTCGGCTACTCCAAAGTCTGAAACGTAATTAAAGGAGTTTTAGAGTAATTGAAAAGCTTCAATAAATCAATATCATGTGCTCAAATGAACAAAGAGGCAACAATCGCAGCATAAAATGAATTGCCAAATGCTTTGAATGTGACACTCATTTAATTTAATAAAATCAACAACTGGGCATAAATATTTTAAAGATTATTTCATTTTCTCTATCAGGCCCTCCATTTTAAAGCAATCTAGTTTTTTATGATATTCAAATGTTGCTAAGTATTTTACTACACTTATCCGAAAGTGAACAAGTGTAATTTGTATCCTTATCGTAATGCGTAAATTTATACTTCTTCTGGAACAGACGAAATTATAAATAGTTGACATTTGAATATTAAAATTACTTCACATGGTCTTTGCAATTACTATCGGCAACTGTGACTAATAAAGTAACCTTAGCCGAGTTGCGCTAAGCCACTTCTATGCTGACGAGCTCAATCAGGGCCAACCCAGGTCAAAATTAAGTAGAGCCTGTTTTTATGAGTTCAACGTGGCATGTAACTGGGCGCATCAATGTAGTTGTTGTTGTTCATGTTCTGGCTGTGTTTTGCTAGACTCCGCTCCTAGTCAAGAGCTACTCCTTGTTGTAATAGTAGTAGTAGCTGTTGTTGCATTTGTCGTACATCTTTGTTTACTTTGTGCTCATGTAACGCCCTCTACTCTGTCAACGGCCCCAACAACGTTGTTGTCCTCGGCAAGAAATTTAATTTACCAGCCGCCATAAAACGGCAGAATGGCAGCGGCCAGCGTTGGTCGGAGGGAGGACACACGTCTCTGCAATTTTGTTTGCACCGAAAAATTTGTGTGCTCTTTGCTTTAAAAGCGCCAAGCGCAACATTTTCACAATTAATTTGTCATTTCGTAGTGCAAATATTTTTTCAACTCTCCAACTTTGAGCATAACAGATACCTGGTCTCCTGAGTTCCGGGCACCGTATCTCGGTTGGGCATCAGGCCTTGGCCACAGCCCAACGTATTTAACGTTCGCTTAACGAAACTTTTTGTTGCTGAAAGCATTGTAAAATATGAACAAAAGTTGAAAGCTTGCATATGCTACCAAATTCTCCACTCTAATCCTTGACTTTTAGCATACTTTTCAAGGATTTGCACACACGCACACACACACACACACACACAATACACTTGTGTGCATGGATATGACCGTAAAAAGACTGTCCGCAAATGCATTTATTCATGAGAAGTTTTTGTTACACTCTCAGCTGGCCAAATGAAAAGCGTCACTGAACAAGATCCAGCTAGTTGCTAAGAGACACGACAAAACGAATGCAGCTCGTCTTAATTGTATTACAGGGCAGGCAAGCAGAAAGACAAGCTAAGTCTCAGTAAGAATTCAAATAAAAATAGGATTTTCAAACATTATACTATGCATTCCATCAATGTATTTCGCCCCAAATTCGCCTGATTATTAACTCTTGAGGCTCTCACAAGTAGTTGGCCTATCTGGTCATAAATTTTTGCAAAAATTCGCATGTTGAAAGAACAAATTTTATGACAAAGTAGAGCAAATTTAAACTATCAAAAGTGCACATTAAGAGATGAAGTTTTTCGTAATGTAAAAATAACAATACATATTTCTAATTAAACTCGTGATAATAAATTGATAGCAGCAAAATAAACGCTGCAGAACCGAATTGTACTACAGAATTTGCTCTCGTAATTTATATTTTATTTTATTTATTTATTTTTCTATGCCATGTACGAAATCGAAATCCGAGCTACATCTACATTTACATTTAGAGCAAATAAAGAGGAAAACAAAAGATTTATCAAATTTGCAGCTTTGAAACATTTCAGCCGTAAGCATGCAAAAGCAAATCCTGTGGACCAAACATTTGGCATTAAGGAAACAGAAGCTCATGCATATTGTATAATAAATGTGTTGCATGTTAAACAAAACCAGGAGACAACTGTAAGCCCTGCCTCCAGGTTGGGGGGCTTGAGGTCAGTTGGTGCTGCTGTCAAAGATCTTGGGGAAAAACCGAGACAAAACAAGACACAAAACAAATAGTCTAATAAGCCCTGGCTGAGTGGCAGTCAACGACAAATGGCAAACGGCAAACGGACTGACAACTGTCTTAGATACACCCAAAAAGAAAAAAGTGCTTCGCTTTTTGGCATATGCCGTAGATACATATGCATAGAGAAGTTTTGACTTTGGCTGCATAAAAAATAAATGCAAATAAAATAAATTATATGCACGCCACACACACACACACACATGTGAGTGTGTAACGCAAATATGTTAACAGATTAAACATGAGGCAGCCAGAGCAGCTGGCCAAAAGCCGCAGGCAAACACGAGACCAACTGAACCACAGACTCTACCAGCCCAGTATCGTCTCCATGCGCATTGATTGCCGTGTTCCAACTACAATGCGTTACGTATACGTTATATTTTTGAGGGGCCAGCAGACAGCAATACGAGCAGCGCTCCCTGACTCTGGCTCTGCTCCTGACACTGGCAACGTGACTGTGACACGACCAATTAGTGTTGCTAGCCCAGCGCTGATGTGCCTTGCTGTAGCCAGAGTTACACGCACACAC